CTAATAGGCCGTGTGCCAAATTCACCACGAATGCTTTTGTTTTTGAGAAATCTAGAGCCACCAATGATTATTTAACGAGTTGTCTCTATGGAAGCTCTCAGAAAACACTTAACCAAGCGACAGCAGTCTCTAACAAGGGGGGTCTTTCAGGGCAAGCCGCGCTTTTTCAAAACGGTTTCTTGCATATTGTAGGGACGCATGTAGGGAGCACAAAACCATGTTTGGCTTTCGCTGAAAGGTTTGAACCTAAAATAGAAGTGTAAGGTGCTGTTGATGGTGATTCATCGCGGCGATTGGCGCCCTTAGATTGGCGCCAAAAGGCGCTAAATGTGTCATATGTCATATTCATGGTCAGGACCATTTTGAAGCCAACAAGTGGCCGCCAACCTTGATTGCAAAATTTAGTCGCCGCGGGGGATTCGAACCATCAAGGGTATTATTCACCACTTTTTTGGTACTACTAAAACCGTTCAGCGAAAACGAAACATGGTTTTGTGGTCCATACATGCGTCCCTACAAAAAACCGCCTTGAAAAAGCGCGGCTTGCCATGAAAGACCCCCTTGTAAGTTAGCACAATACTAACTTATCACAGAAATGGGATCTTTTCCCTGGAGGAATCACTACATGAATTTTTCGCAATTTTTCTACCGGAACTGATTTCTGTTGCATGCATGTAGCTTGATAGGTCTGATTTAGTATGGACGCACTATAAGGCCGTACCGGATACACGAAAAAGAAAAGAATCAATTGTTATGAACAAGCCAATGTTCACAGAGCAATGCTAACAGGCTAGATATGTATGATAAGAGAATGATTGGATCCCGTGCGGCTAGCAGAATAACAGCCGGCCCAAAGTAGTGCACGAAATTTGCTCGACGCAATTAGAACCTGTGTGTCCGACGAGGAGCCGTTGCAAAATTTACTCGATCTTTAACTCGACGCTGCCGAGACTTCATCGCAGTGGCATATAGTTATAGAGACAAAACCCCGCACTTGATTAGAATCAGTTATTGATCATGGGAAACACAAGTTGCGATTCCAGGAGGGCTCGACGTAACAAAAAATCTTCAAAAAGACTTCAAATCGGGTTAGATTCCTAACGTGTTCTCGATACACACGCTGATCCCAACGCTTGATAGCTCCCACACTTGCTGTTGATTTTTCAGGATGCAACCCTTCTTCGAAGTACGACGATGTGAGCGACAGGGAAGGGTTCAATGTAAATTTTCGCTAAGTAAGCAAAATTTTGTGCTGTCTTCACCCTTTCTATCATATACGTTGATTACACCTCGGAAACTGCTCATTATCAAGTATTCTGCAGCTCAATTAGCCTCACAGGCACACTGCACTATAAGGTCGTTAAACAGCCGAGACGCTGAAGAGGTGCTCAGATGCTAGAAAAGATAAAATGTGACATGGGAAATTTCGAAATATGATACTTACTGACCCAAGCCTGGCAGGCCTGTGGGCCTAGCAATTTAGCTTCTCTGAAGGAGCTGCGTTTGTCTCTCTATATTCACTCGTCGTTGTCAAGATCGGTCTGGGTTCGGCGCGAACTCATACAGTTCTGAGTCAACAGCGAAGGGGATCTTATTAAAGGTCTTTGCTTGTCATCGGGTTTATTTCCAGCTCATATCGGTTTCTATCTCATATCGGTACTATACTACCGCATTCTCTGATCAACAACCTGCGGGTAAGGCAAGCAAGTAGTAAACAATCAGGTTCCGTCACCAACACAGATATTCGGCTGATTTAGATCTGGTGTCATCCAATCTTGACTTCAGTGTAATAAGATTTTTTCCACTTTCAATTCCACTTAAGGTCTATGAAGTAATCTGGCTAAACGAACCGCTTTGTGTTTCTGAGAAGAATGTGTTGTACGAGGCATCCTCCACACCTTGCGTTTTGTCCGCAGGCATGATTCCATCAGGCTGAAATTACAAATAAATTCTACCAAAACACAACGATAAATTCACCATAACTGTTTCATTTGTCGACTTCAAACCATTTGGCTAAAAAGAGAACTGTAAATATTACAGGATTTCAACAATCCTTATCATGGATGGCTTCGAATTTTTCATTGTTTACACGTACAAAAACAACCCCTGTTCAATGGTTGTTTGGCAACCGCCGTCCACTTTCGTCGTAGATAGCCGGACCGGAAGATGAAAAAGGATCTCACTTCCTTTAGCGAGGTTTCTTGAGCCGCAACCAAGATATTATGAACGTTTTACTCGGCTAACGTTTCGGCCGTATCGCCTTCGTCGGAGCCTGGAAAGCCAAAGATAAATGCGATTCACCCCCCAAACACCATTTCAAACTTCAAGAGAAGTCCCAGACCCTATGTCTCTAGGAAGGCATCACAAATCACTAAACACTAGAACCCACCTTAAGAAGATGAGTACATCGGAGAGACGGGGCGACCCTTGTGCGCGAGGGTCAAGGAACACCTAGATGGTTTGAGTCGAGCAAGGCCTGAGACCCCCCTGGGAGCTCACCGCATGCAGTCACATGGAGGCGCAGGATTTGAGGTAGCAATCAGTATTCTGCTGCGAGAACCACTAACTTCTGCACGCAAGACCCTTGAGGCATTCTTCATTAACGCCAGGTCCCCTAAAATGAACAGGAAAGACGAATGCCTAGCCATAACTAACGAACTCGCGCCTTTTTCTGACCTCTGTGGGCTTCGTTTGCCATCGGCTTCAGGCCGAGGGGCCAGGTCATCTGAAGCCGTCCCCCTGTAGTCAGATTAGCGGTGGTCTACACCAAGTCCGGTCGTTTCTTAAGGTGGGTCCAAGTGTTTGTGATTTGTGATGCCTTCCTAGAGACATGGGTCTATGGGACTTTCTTGAAGTTTGAAATGGTGTTTGGGGGTGAATCGCACTTATCTTTGGCTTTCCAGGCTCCGACGAAGGCGATAGGCCGAAACGTTAGCCGAGTAAAACGTTCATAATATCTTGGTTGCGGCTCAAGAAACCTCGCTGAAAGTAACTCTCGCAATGCCAAGATTGACCGAGAGTCGAACATGGACAATCTCACTTCTTTCCAAGGCAAAGCTCCTGTTGCATAAATGCATTGTGGGGACGATAAGGCTTTCGGCCGCCCTAATTCACTATACGCACGCTTACAGTAAAATGTCTAGTTGTTCTAATGGTCCGCCATCCCACCTATTCGATCCCCTGATGGTGTGAATCTTTTGGATTACTAAAAATATCGAATTTATTGTGACACAACCACTGTTCGCAGGAGTCTCCAGGTGCGGCTTCGGATGAACCTCGGCATGATGGCGCTGCTTGTTATGTTTTCAACTCTTCACCAGGCTTGGTAACTGGCCTTTATTAAGCTAACGTTTCGGCGAGAATTGCCCTCTTCAGAGCTCGAGTTCGGACAGTCTATGAAAACCCGACCAAATGTCTTAGCAAACCCAACGGTTCGCAGGGATACATAACACACGTTCAAGATGGTTCGTATCGCAGATTCAATGAAAAATGGAAACTGGAGATAGAAGGTACTAGTCTACGGCCCTTCACGCTGCAACCGCAGGAAATGCCAAAATCAGGTCCTGTATTCCTCGGCAAGTCCTAATGAACTTGCGTGACTTCAACTCGTTGTCATGATTTGAGTTCTTTCAGCAGACTATTTGCTCACAACCTATGCTATGAAGAGGTCTTAGGGTAACGCTTGAATTCGAAATTTGACCTGCAGGTTATAGCCGGGCAACCCTTCTCAACACCAAGTGGTTGTTTTCCCATATGTTAGCAATTGAAATTGCAGCCGTTAATTTCACTGTGGCCAGAGAAGCGAGAAAAGTTGCTGGGCGCCATTCATATTTTCGCCAGCTCGTACATAGTGCGGAAAGTGATGACAGTGCGAAGAACGCACGCACTGACCGTGACGCGTCCTTGGCACAGTAGGTGCCTCTCAGTATAATTTTCAATCTTATGACCTTCTATATTTTTTGTTATTTTACGCGCCATGATGTTTCAGTCATTTTTTTCCAACGAAAATTCTTTTCAATATAAATCGTAATTTTTCAGTGATCCACAAAAGATTATCGTCGTGCAGCTGCTCGTGAAAGTGGGGGGTGAGCACCCTGCTGAGTTTAGAAGTGCACAAAAAGAACAGCTGGTAACAAAAAATTCCGCTGTAGAAAAACACGTCTGAAAGTAAAACCTCGAGCAGAACATGAAAAATATACAGAATGAGTAAAAAAAAGGTACCGATAAATAGAAAGGCACCGAGTGTGGGCGAAGTCCGCATTATGCGCAAGAGCGTGTGTTGACGCTCTTGGTACTGTCCGCACGACGCTATCCGCCGAGTCCGCGCAACCGCAAAGTACACTGCGACGCATAATCTTAGTTCCACCTACAAATTTCCCAAAAACTAGAATTTGGAGATGTTTTTGAAAAGGGCTCTACAGACAAATTGTGACACATGCAAATGCGAATCTGAATATTATCACGGAAATCCAGTTTGAGAAAGCAAAAATTTTTTATCCTCATTTTTTCGAAAATACCCGACTTGCCTATGACGCAAAATCATAGTTCCACCACATGTTTCTCTGCTGCATTTTGCTTTTACCCAATCAAATTATTACCCACTCAAGTCCCTTAGCTTATAGCAAAGGCAAAACCGCTGTCGAACTTCCGTAAAAGGAAAACCCTAGCAAAAGAGACGCAGGAATTGTTGAAGTGTCAGCTCACGCTGGAATTTGTCGGGGTGACTTCATAACGAACAAATTTCTCAAGGATGCTACAGGATATGATTCTGGGAGGAACCCTGATTACTATCCGACCGAGATAAGCGCCGTATCGTGATAAATAAGATTAGTATATAGTATAGGATAGGATAGAGGATAAGAAATACGGTTTCAGTGAGAAGAAATCAGAGAGAAAAACGAGCCATTTTTCTTTGAAAGCTCAGCCAGTTCGAGTGAAGCGGTGGCATTCTTTCATTTGCGACTTTTGATTTGCGTCTTTCTTTCTCTTAACGTTTTTCTTTCTCAGATCGGTTTTCTACTTCGTAGCACACATGTATGGAGAAGAAAATGATCAGGAGGATGGTCAGAGGTTCCAAAATATCACAGATAAAAAAGTGTCCTCACTTCGCTCTACTTAGCAAAACTTTTTGAGAAAAATGGCTCGTTTTTCTCTCTGATTTCTTTTCACTAAAAGCGTATTTCTTATCCTCCAGACATGGACTGTCACGAGCGTGTTGTAAAACACGTGAAACTGCTTCCATTGAGACACTAACTTTTGAAGAAGTTTTGATTTCCGTACCCGTCTGGATAAAGTCGTATTATTTTCTCACGATACGGCGCTTATCTCGGTCGGATAGTAATCAGGGTTCTTCCCAGAATCATATCCTGTAGCATCCTTGAGAAACTTGTTCGTTATGAAGTCACCCCGACAAATTCCAGCGTGAGCTGACACTTCAACAACTCCTGCGTCTCTTTTGCTAGGGTTTTCCTTTTACGGAAGTTCGACAGCGGTTTTGCCTTTGCTATAAGCTAAGGGACTTGAGTGGGTAATAATTTCAAAATTTGATTGGGTAAAAGCAAAATGCAGCAGAGAAACATGTGGTGGAACTATGATTTTGCGTCATAGGCAAGTCGGGTATTTTCGAAAAAATGAGGATAAAAAATTTTTTGCTTTCTCAAACTGGATTTCCGTGATAATATTCAGATTCGCATTTGCATGTGTCACAATTAGAGTCCTTTTCAAAAACATCTCCAAATTCTAGTTTTTGGGAAATTTGTAGGTGGAACTAAGATTATGCGTCGCAGTGAATGAAAGAGAATCGGCGAATGTTACATAGTGGGTCATCAGCTGCGAGAAAATGGCAGTTAATAAACTGACCTGCGATAGCACAGTGGCCTGCCCACAGGGAGAAAGGGAGGCCAACTGCCAACAAACCCAAGGTCCAAATCATCATTGTGATGTGACTCATGGTCAGTCTAATGAATATCGTCACTACGATGAAGTCCTGTATAGACAAGGCCTCTTCGTTGTGCATACTTCCACTTAATTGCGTTATCTCCCTTCCGATGTGTTGACCTCACAACGAAGCAAAAGCCGCAAAGTTTACGCAGGGTAGTCCCGGCGGTTGCTGGGACATGAACTGGTAGAATAGTAATCTAAACCCCCCCTTTGTTTCTTTTGTTGAGGCGTAGAATTTTTTTTTCCTTCCATGAACATACTTGTTCAACGGTGCATAGACCACCTTACAAGAAACGTATCGCCTGAGAGTAGGTGTTCAGGTCTCTGTGATAGAACTCTCTTCTTTGAATTCGCTGAAGTCTAGGCAACGAAAGTTCGGATATGAGACCATTATAGTTGGGGTAAGGTTGAACAACCTCATGAGTAATTGGATTTTTCTTGTTTTCTTCTCTCAAAAGCGTTGCGAAAAAGGTGTGGACGGTTTGCTTTCGGAATGGCTGTGGCATCTGCGCATAGGGTCACCGTTGCTCAAGTCCTCTCACTTTCAGGATGGCGTTAAACTCTAGCAATTAGAAGTCCCGAATCGTTAGAGCTAAACTGGAAAATGCTTCCGCTCGTGAATCCACTTACCACACTTCACCCACTATTTAGCGCTGGTATAAGCTGGGTAGTCGATGGAGAGTATCATAAAAAGCAAACAGGAACCTACCCATGTCGAATCATAAGAGGAGCTAATTTGGGCTCAGGCATGCGAGATTCAAACTCTTTTCTAGAACTCTACAAGTCTTCGAGAATGTTTTCGTGCAGCACCTTGCCGCAATAGAAATCTCCGGCAACTTAGTGATTATTAATATTTTTCCTTACAACAGGCAGTCCATCCAGGCTGTCAATCACGGGTTAGTTGATGTATGGACGGAGAAGACAACCCTGCGTAAAGTGAATCTGCAGTGCACCCCTGATTGAAAGAGCATGTCCTCAAATTCCTCTGTTCATCCTGCATAGCCCGATGTTTGAAATCCCAATCGGTAATTATAATAAGAAAAAGGCTTTCAAAAGGTTCCAAAGTAACTGGAAACTTGGGCAGATCCGAATGGGTGAGCTGGTACGGTACATACGAAGCTTTGCAAAACATCAATGCTTTCAAAGAATTCCATGGCAAGAAGTGTAAAGTGGCTCGGAAATTATGCAAAAAAAAACTGATTGCTGCTCTACTATAAAAACGAGTTACAACCTACTGAAGAGCGCACAGAAAACAGCTCCATGTCAACACCTCACACGGTCTCGGCGTTTTCGGCCGGGAATGGTTGATATCTTTTGCAATAGGTAAATTAAAGCAGCTCAGCTTTCTTCAGCTTTTTCATTGTTGCAATGTCACATTTTGACCCACCTGTATTCCGTGCTCTAAGCAGTACAGCTCCCAGCAGGCATTGCCGATTTGCACCCCAGCCTGTCCAACATGAAGCGAGACGATCTCGCGCTGAAATGATACGATCCTTGCAGCTATGAGTTAATGTGTTTACCAGGAACAAAAAAAAAAATTCTCGCCAGAAAGGGGAAAGGAGAATAGAGTAAAACAGTTAGAATAGACTGTCACTCCCGTCCCCGATCCTAAGCAGCGTCAGATATGCGATTTTTGACTGCACTTATTCAAATTTGTACGAAACACCTCCTATTGAGACACAAAGCTCTTCAGAGACGGTTTGGTGAGATGTTCGATCGTAGTGGCTTTTTAGAACTTTATTCTTCTCGAACCTCTCGCTTTCATATAATGAAAAGAAAAGAATGAAAAAGAAAACGGTGGTCAGCGAATCGCTTCTTGACTCATTGTTGCGGGTTTCTCTAAACGTAAAACTTGAATTGCATTTCAATAATCGGAACCCTGATTCGTAAAGGCAATCTCAACACATGAGACTTTGAGACGCGGTAACGCGTCTCACCCTTATCATCCCTTTTTCTAGCGTATGCGGGGATTCTTCCCAATTTGCTTGTCTTTCCTCTATGGATTACAACATAACATAACTTGTAAACGACATGGTCACGGTATGATCAAAAAATGCCCCAGTTTGAGCAGAAGTTTTTTAAGCACAGTAGAATTGGCAGCTCGGTTTATTCTTCGTTTTTTTTTTTCCTATTCTCATGAACATGTCAGTGAGAAAGGGTAGTGAAAGTGAATACAAGCTCAAAGGGATAGAAAAATATATGTTCCACTTGGCACATCCACATCGAAAATAATTTTGGCATCCACTACAGGAAAAACGCGGAAGGCTCCCCTTTCATTACTATTACACGTTCTTTTGGTCGGGCGCACTGAATATCGCTGAAATAGTTCTGTACCAGTGATGCTTTTCAAAGATATCTCGATATTTACGATTGCTAGGTGCGGCGGCCGCGCTCGCGAAATCGCCCCTGTCCCACGTGGTCAAAAAAGCCACAACCCGCGCTGCCGTCAATGTGTTAACCACCAAAACTCAAGATGAGACGTGTGCCCACACTATGTAGCTTTCATACATGCAGTCCAGAATTAAGAAATTGGTTACGATCTCGTTCATTTGAAGGCTGGAAATTTTGCAATATAGCGCGAAAAAAATTGTTACTGTCTCTGTGATTTGAGAAGCTCAGATAAAAAATACATTGTTGCATAAGTAAACATATGTTATAGTGTAAAGAAGGCTCCAGAGAAGGCAGTTTCATTCTTGACTCAATAACACGAATCCTCACGATCCCAAATTAACAGATCCCATCTGCTCCTCAGAAAACCGATTGAAAGAACCTACTGTTTAGCAGTTCGTCAACCTGTCTGCCACGACTACATCCTTTTTCTTCCATTTGTGCCATTGTGCGCTGTTACTTGCACGGTTGAGATACGTGATGGACGGGGTCATAGGCAGTAGCGCCAGACGAAGTGAGTAAGAATGGCCGCAAAGGGACGCCGTTGCTATACCGACAGTTATCCACATATCAGTCCGCCCATATGGATATCAATAGCAAAGTACCATTATCGTTAGCTCCTGCACCCTAATCACATGCAGCCTGCAATTACACGTGCCGATTAATGGACCGTGAGGGTCATGTCAATATGGGAATAAATATTTCGTTCGAAGTAATAGTGAGCAGCCAAGGAGGGGAGCCGTTGATGAGAATCTAACGTTGTTGTGAAGAGGAGGTTAAATTCTCAAAGGCTTTGAATACTTTGTTCCATGAGAACACCACGACGGTTAAGAGGTCTCGATGATGGGAGAACTTGAGCTAGGACGTCTTGATGAAAAACTAAGGTGTAGGACCCCCTTTCTTTCATCACATCCTTTCATCAAGACCTCCTAGCCTTCCAATGTTTGCGCTACATGTTTTGAGCCATCCAGTGGGTCGTTTAGTGTTCTCTCTTGATAATGTGTTCAACAGCCGCTGAAATTCATCTTGTATTAGTAATGAGTGTAAAGCTCTCAGAAGGGGAGTCTTTCAGGGCTAGCCACGTTTTTTCAAAACGGTTTCTTGCATATTTAGGGACACATGTAGGGAACACAAACCATGTTTCATTTTCGCTGAACGGTTTAGCAGTACCAAAAAAGAAGCATAAGGTACAGTTAATGGTTCCGACCCCTTGACTGCTAAATTTTGCATATGGGTTGGCGCTTCCAAGGTGGTGCCAAATCGCGCTAAATGTCCAAATCCGATATCATATTCATCGTCAGGAACATTTTAAAGCCAACAAGTGGCCGCCAACCTTGATTTCGTGCATGTGTCCCTAATATGCAAGAAACCGTTTTGCCCCGGAACTCCCTAAACGCCAGTACTTCAGTGCTCTGACAAGAAGACCCTCTTGTCAGAGCACTGAAGTACTGGCGTTTGAGATCTCGCTCCAATTCACAATGTCGGAAAAAAAAAAACAAATTTATCATCTTTTGGGGAGATTTCGATTACCAGGCGCTAGCTAGATCGATAAGTAATGTCATGTATTATTTGGCACCGATTAATAAATTTTTCTCAGGCTTGATAATGGTGTCAGCGCCGAAGAGCACATTTCAGTGACTAAAGAGTCATTCGTACGCCGGTTGGATTTTTCGTACTTCTATTATATATTGAAGTTCCGAAGTGTTGCATGCTACTCTGCGAATTCAGAAATGTATGAACCAGTAGGCTGCTTTCATAGTTCGCATCGGTGCGGTCGGTGCCGACGGCGCCGACCGCACCGACAGTGTGAAGAGCGTCAATACGCACTCTGGCGCATGACGCGTACGTTGGGCGCAGATCGCGCGCTCCGATCGATAATCTTGGTTTTGGTGTATTTCTTGTCTTTTTCGATATTTTTTTGCGCAGTCTTCCTTTTATTAGTGTGTTTTCTGTTCATACTTATTCTTTTATGTCTTGATGAATACTTCAGTTGTTCCGCGGACGGAGCGACGTCGTGCAACCCATTCGTAGCTTCGAGACCCGGTGAGTTCACAGTTCATGAGCAATTTTGTTTATTCGAGTGAACTGTATGTTTCCAGTAGTTGCTTTCTCTTCGATACGATTTCCTGCTGGTGTGCGAATAATTAAATTACCAAGATCCGGCGGCCTTTCGCACACCAGCAGGAAATCGTATCGAAGAAAAAGCAACTTCTAAATTATAGAGTCCACTCGAATAAACAAAATTGCTTATGATGAACTCACCCGGTATAGCCACTTTCACCCGGGGTAGTACGACGGGGTTCTACGAAGTCGCTCGTCCGCGGAACAACTGAAAAGTATGAAACGAGACATAAAAGAATAAGTATGAGCAGATAACACACGAATAAAAGCAACACGGCGCAAAAAAAACATCGAAAAAGACAAGAAATACACCAAAACCAGGATTATCGATCGGAGCGCGCGATCTGCGCCCAACGTACGCGTCATGCGCCAGAGCGCGTATTGACGCTCTTCGCACTGTCGGTGCGGTCGGCGCCGTCGGCACCGACGCACCGATGCGAACTATGAAAGCAGCCTAGAACTTCCTCACCGACCCAAATGTTTTCATTTGTGAAGTTTATTAAGGTAGCGATGATATCCCAGCATACTGCTTTCCTTATCTGTGTTTTGTCTAGCCCAAATAAATATTGTGGGTAGCCGCGAGTATAAAAGCAGTCAAATGAGTAACATCCAGCTCAATGCCACCTGCAAAGAAGACACATGGGCTTTCCAGGTACCCACAAAGTGGTTCCTTCTCATACCTCTGTGTACGCGAAATGTTCATGATTTCAGCCGATTGGGGCGCCATTCCCGGACCATCCAATCCGCGTGCCCGGGCAGCAAAACATGTACGTGGCTCTCTGGTACAAATACGGGAAGCCGATCCACGGACGAGCATGGAATAACAACGGCGGTGTGGAGTGTTCATTTCCATACAAGAAAGCAGAACTCACCACAAAACGTGAACTCGAAGGGCACATTCAAATTCTCACATATAAGGGCAACTACAAGACACTAGGATACTGGTGGGTTAATTTCAAAATCCAGGGAAGCTTCCTTACAGATGGTTTCCAGGTATGAATGGCTGCCACTGAAATCCCGATTCGACGACACTACAGATCGTGAACTTGTAAAGTGTGGGCAGTCGACGCCTATTCTGATGACATGCGCCGACAAGGAGAAACGTCTTGGATATCTCGACTTGAGCACAGAAGTCGCTATGGTCGCCTACAATAAAAAAGTGGAGCAAATAGCTGGCGGAGCCACGCAAGAGTGCCTCGGAATCTTCCGGAATTACAAACCACCACCAAATGTGATCGTTGAAGACGATCAATGGGAAGATACCAAATGGGGAAACGAGTTCCCGAAAAACGTTGAACCGGTGGGTCTATCCCTACTGTAAATAATTCGCTGTGTGTGTATGTGTGAGTCTGTCTGCGTGTGTGTGCAGTCTTCAGAAGTTGGTTTAGGATATGATATAGGAGGTGGGACGGGAAACATATTTGGCGGGTGACAGAAACTGATAACACCTGATAAGGGCTGATAAGCAACGTTAGATGGGAGGGTTCACGAAATTCATGGCGTGTGTCCCAGCAACACCGAGGCACCGATCCCAACATGTGAGACATGCCTGATAGGTGACTGAAAGCGATAACACATAGCGTGCGGCTTAGCTGTAAGGAGACGCTGTCTTTCGAAGGGTCATATTTGCTTGGTTACAAAAAATGAAAACAGCTGATAAGAGCAGATAAGAACAATTAGCCTGAGAATGGAGAAGTGACTGAAGGTGCTACTTGAATGCGCGATAACAAATGCATTACACTTCGCTTGCGATGTCGTAGTCAGCATCGGATCTATTGAAGATGATTGGTGTTTTTTGTGGATGAGTATTGTTGTTCTATTTTAGTGTTACCGGCATAAGAAGCGATGCAACCGCTAAACCATCCCAACAATCGAATCGAAGATAATTGTTTACATTAAGTTTTAATACTCAGCAGCTCGCGTAATCGTATTGGTTATCCAAAACCCAATCGGCCACTAGACCATGTTGGTTTCCGAAAAATGATGGATGTTTATGGGCTTGACGAGCTGCGGAAAATGACTGCCCCCGGCACTATATTAGGTTTGAACGATTGAGATATCGCTTCCGTTTGTGCCTTTGTCTCTTGGCTCGAACACAATCTCTTAGGAATGGGAGACCATTAGGGAGAGCGATTCAGCACGCATATTGAAATCTTAGGCGCCACTGAGCGGATGTTCTTCGAGCCAAAACTTTTGCTCGAAGATGACTGATCAGAAATCATCGTCAGAGAGTATATATTCAAGCAACGAAAAACGGCCAACGAATCTCACTCATTGTGTGCAAAACATTCAGCAGTAATGGTTTCAGCTCTTCCAAGACTGAGGTAAAGGACCTGGCGACGAAGATCGTGGATTTTGACCTCTAGCTCTAGATGACGGAGAAATAAAGAAAGCCAACGAATTGAGTCCTCGACAAACCGCACAAAACTTGCATGGAGATTCAGTTGTGTCAACAGAAAAATTTAAAAGTTCCTACGTGCGACTGTTAAGGCCTTTCAGGATAGAATGGGTTCGGCCTATTCTGAGCGACGCGAGCAAGCAGTACTGGTTGCCAATACTGGAACTTCGCTCCATAACTTCAAGAGGAAAAAGGTTCTTGACTTCGTGTTGACCGCATTTTACAAAGAGATGTTTCCCAATAACAACGCGAGAAGACGACCGTGGTTGGCGGCTGATGGACAGCTGAGGGTGACTTCGAAACCAGACATCCACGGAAACAAAGTCATGTTTTTATATGGTGATATAGTATAGCAACGGTGTACCACGGAATGCTGATTGTGGGTTATACAGTTACAGCTGAACTCTGCGTATAACAGCTCCACCACGTGGGCCGAGCTCCGCGTCGTCAAAGGGTAAATTCGGCCAATGAAAAATTATGGCACGATAATGCAAGACCACATGTCGCGAAAATCTTGCAACAAGAAATCGAGGAGTTGGGCTGGGACGCTCTGCCTCTCGCGCCATATAGCCCAGGTCTGGCGCCGTCCGACTATCACTGACCAGGTCAGCGCAACACTCCTTAGCAGCAAACCAATTCGATAACCGCGACGACGTCAAAATTTGAGTGCCCAACTTCTTCGAGTCGAACCAGAAAGAGTTCTACGCGGTAGCATCCATGCTTTGCGTAACAAAAGGTGATGAGCCTGTGACACAGGTGAAGGAAGATGGTTCAGGTTGATGTGCTTCATTATTGTTTTATAATGAAAATTGATGATCGAAAACGACATTTCAATCGTTCCAATATAATAACCTTTCGTAAATAACATCACTGAGATTCGTCAAAAGCATTCATGCCGCCTAATACAAGAACCCGACTATGATCAGTTTAATTGGAGCCTAGTTTGCCATCGCAGTAGCGAGCGAAGGTAAACTGGTCGATAATAGCTGACACTAAGGTCCGTTTCAAAGCTCTCGACTTGGGATATTGGCAAAGTAGGCGGTAGGATGCTATGATAGTAGTGGAGTAAATGACAAGATTAGTTACGTATGATTGAAATCGTCGGAGATTAGTAGACTAAGCGTTCCCCCAAACGAATCGTTCATTACGTATCCAACCTTGTCAGCGCATCCAACCCACTACTATCCTGGTCCATAATGTGCTCCTTTTCGTTGTTGCTTACTTCCCTATTCTCCGGGTTCTTGAACTGTGAACGCGGCCTAGTGTTATTGAAATCGCTTATTGATGAAATTAGGAACGTGTGCAGTGTTCAAACTTCGAGGATGTTTTGCTCTTTTACCACCTGTGGTTCTATCTTCTAAAAGAAACGAAGCTAACACTGGTGCTTCCAGCATGCTTAATGAAGGGAAATGGTATTTTCGTATGACTTACAATCACAAGTCACACATATATGGATTTTGAGGCGATGAAGCGAGAGTTGAAAACGGCACCCGACGTCCCGAAATATCAATACGTTGCATTATGGTACAAGCACGGTGAACCAGTTTTCGGTCGTGCCTATCCCGGGAAAGATGGAAAAGTGAGTGCCGCTGCCTTCGAATGACTTGAGTGTTAAGTACATTGTGGTGATTTGAAGCTGATGGCCAGTTTCGGAGCGAAAAACCAAGAAAACTGTGGACCAGAGATCGGATCGTTACAAATTTTGACACTACCTGATCCAAGCTGTGTAAGTGCTTTGTGACACTATTCTGTCTCTGAACAGTTGGTTCTCAAGCAGTTTTGTGGCCCCAGCGCACTCGCTCTTGATACAACATTGACTTTGGTTGACAGCTTTCCTTACCAGATTTTCGATAGTTCCTCTAATGTTGTGGGTGGCTGTGCATGGGAAAGCATCACCGAGAAGTCGCCCTGCTTGCAAGTCAAATTCCGCAACTAACTAAAAGGTTGCATGTTCTGCGTGCTCTAGCACTTCTGGGTGGTTTTCCTGCAGCACAGATATCACTGTGAGAAAACTTGAGTGTATTGCGTAATATCCCTACTATATATAAAGCGCTACGTCTGTCTGTGTGTCTGTGTGTGTGTGTGTCACGAAATTCATAGCACGCGTCGCAGCAGTCGTTAGGAGCTGATTTTTTGATATGATATAGGGGGTGGGACGGGAACATATTTGGTGGGGGTCAGAAAGTGATAACGACTGATAAGAGCTGATAAGAGGCGCTGAAACGCAAATTTCACGAAATTCATAGCGCGCGTCCCAGCAGCAGTGGGGCGTTGGTTCCAAGAAGTGATGTGAAGGGGAGAGGGTGGGGCGGGAACATGCTTGGTAACTGTATGCCTAAGAATGTAGGCATGGGGTACAGAGAGTGATAACGGCTGATAAAGACTGACACTAATTGTATGCCTAAGAACGTAGGCATACAGTTAGTGTCAATCTTTATCATATAAAAAACACTTGAATCCGGATTCTAGATAACGCATTTCATTTCAATATCATGTCATTTGCGTTGTCATTGTCAACATCAAACACATTCCCACCGCTACCTACTCCCTAGAGTTCCTACAGCGGTGGAGTGAGATCGCTTCGAAGGCAATGCGGCTAATGAGCTACCAGGGCCTTTTACATCGCGAAACATCATCGAACCTCAAATATTTCGGCTCCGGACACCCCCGCGCTAAATCACCGCGACATTCGATGCATGGTGGTTGTTTACAGACTTTAATATCGCACTTCACTGCGTTTGTCAAACAGTGAGCCTTACCTGAAATGAGCCGCAAATGCTACGGTCAGCCAACGCATTTACGAACAACCTATTGTTCAGAGGTGGGACCCCCTACACGGCTGTCGCGCTTTAAGCTTCCGTGGGAGGCCGGTCGAGCATCCATATTGGCATTAGAGCAGCACAGGCGCAACTGCCGTCGCCCCCACCCCCGCCGCACTTGTTGCGCGACAACTCGTCCGTGTACTCCAATCCCTGCCTTGACACTTCAGTGGTTGGTTGATTTGCTAGTTTTGGTAACATAAATTTTCGTTGAGTCCCAAAGCTCCAGAAAAAATAGCGGATAGCGTTGCCGGCCTGATGCCAAGGCAAGAGCAACGGAACGTAATGTGTTGCACGGACGAGTTGTCCGGCGTGCAGGCACGTAGTACGTTATGGCCTGGTTGCTCTCTAGATGCCAACTGTGGGTTCGGCACCATAACTTGTACGCGCACCCCCCTTCTGGTATCATGTCGCCGGTCAGCGTGCACGGATCTAGCACTCGCTCAATAATCATAAGAACATGCTGCATACGCAAAGTAGGCAGAAATCACATCCAAAGCAGAAGTGTCGACCACCAAAAATTAACATCCGTGCCTACACCCCGCATCTCTTCCTTCCCTGCGTCCTAAGCCCATGCTAGCACATCAATCCATTACTTGGCGAATACAGCATGCCGTAGCTCTGCAACAGGAGAAACTGACGTATTTCATCCGCGATCGAAGTGCAAGCATTTTGAAGATAACACCCTCTTCACACTGCACCTACGTAGCCGTCAATGTCTACTGCCATACTCCAAGCACTAAAATTGCTGGGAACTGGCTTGACAAACCAAGGAGGAACGTCATGAATGTGTACATTCAGATGGGTCTGGAGTACAAGTGGATGACACTAGCTGATGGGAGAGCTGATGAGGCAAAAAAGTGGGAGCCAGTGCATGTTGGTACCGCTGCACCAGCGGTATGTGTAGACGATGATGGCGTTGAGGTGCTCGGATGCATGAATTTGACAAATGAGACAGCTTCTATTGGATTTCAAGGAAAACAAAAGTACCTGGCTTCCTTTTAAAGCAACAATCCAGGAACGAATTCGCGGGTAAGGACCACCTATAATGACGTTGCAGGTGAGAAGTTGGTCAATGGAGAAAGAAAAAGTAGAAAAAAACGTCGGGCAGGGGCTTAGACAGGGACTCCCCCTGCCGTTTAGGGAGACGTGTGTTGGACGAGTTGTCCGAACCTGCCCGTAGTACATGCGCTCCAATTGCAACTGCTGGCAAATAGCCATGCATGCTTGCAAATACATAACTATTTGCCAGCAATCGAAATTGAAGCGCTTCAAGTTGCGTTCTTCATGGAATCGACCTGATACAGCGCGGCGGTCCCGCAACGACCGCTATTCGAGCAAGCGCTCTTCACAGCAGCAAGGAGGCGGGTCAACCGAGGCTCGGTTGACCCGCCCTTTTCGACGAACTTCGAGCCCTTCTCACGCATTTCAGAGGTGAGTTTTTACTTCAGTGACAGTTCCTTTCGACTTCACTTGGGCTGGGGCATGCTTCCACACCTCAGCTTTGGATTAGTTGAAACCCTCCCTGGACTGTTGCTTTAAGCGTCCGTGCGCTGATTTCTACTGTTCAGTTTTGTTTGTCATCACCCAGAAAAGTTTTGCCGTCCCTTATTCGACCTTCAGATTCTGGTCGACCCTACGTGGTGTCTATGCCGCTCACCATTTGGAGTGTGATGTGAGAACCATGCTGAGGAGACCTTATTTGCTGGCGGAATCGGGAAACGTGTTACACTTGACGAAAACTCTGTTTAACCTGGCATGTGTGAATCAGTAATACTCTCCAAGTACGTAAGGCACTTAGCAGCAGTAGAGTGGCGAGAAGCCGACCGCCTCAAGTGTGGCAGGGTCCCGAACGGACGTAGGCCTAAGCGAACAGCAGACACATAGGACTCCAACGTTGCCCACCGACTGTTGGCCCCCGCAAAAACTGATAAGCTCAGATAGTTCGCACCCCAGGTTGATAGTTTCACTCGAGACAAAAAAGATACTGAAATGATATGATTTTTCTCGCCGTTGCACGGGAAAATGGGGTGGCGATACATTTATAATCTCGTAAAACATGTAATTTTCGTTGAGAACGGGACTGAATTTTCGGCGGGGCAGACAGAGTCCCGGAACAGTATTTCCTCACTCCCCTGAAAGTTCCCGCCCCTTTAAGGGGTAATACGAGGTGATGCCCTGTATGTTGCGATAGAGCTTGATTTTTCCTGGCATTGTTTTCTACTCTGGCATAACTTGTGAAACATTGCTAATTATTCTGGAAATTTCAGATGTTCACTGGAGCGGCTCCGATGAAATTCCATGTGCTTCATCACAGGAAGCTGCATTGAGATATGGACACCACTGTTATATTTTTCGTTAAACGAAGCACATAGTTTGAGGCACATGATAAACTGGTTGCGATCAATTTGAATTGTGTGAATGTTCCCACTATGAGCATCAGATGGCCGAATTTCTAGAGATTCCAAACAGACTCATATTCCCCTAATTACTGGAATGTTATCTCAGATTGTCCACCGCAACCGCCCACAGCTCTTTTTCTGATCATCGGCTGTTTAGCCACACGCATAGGACGATTATTGTTTCCTGCAGTACCATGGCCAACTCCGTGTTAGCGTGTGTACCCAAGCCCAGATGCGGAAGTGAAGCAGCGGCAAAAGATGCTGCCTACGCGCGCGGTCCAGGCTCAAAGCTTGGATACTCAACATGTCAACTGAGTATTTTATCCATGCTAGCTCTAAATGATAGCAGACTTATTAGAGAACAAAAACATGACCTGCACGTCGGCTCGCTTCCTTAAAGGCAAAGTTCGGGCTCAGACCCACCTAATGAGCCCTTAAAGTGGCTAGAAGTGCATGGGACGCAACTGCAGGCGACTCGCCAAGTTCCCGCATCGAAATGCGTCACTAAGGCGCTAGGGGCCAAGGACTTTGACACGCTCCACCTGTTGCGACACGCTCCGCCCACCGCTCGATATTTGTCTGCGTCGCAATGCTGATCTGCTATGCTCTCTCTTCTCGGACTTCTCTACCGCTCTCCGCGCTCACATTATCTCTCATCTCCCTGCCGGCCTTTTGAACTTCTCCGCAACGTAGAGCAAAAGGCTCGTATTTCCTGTATATTTCACAGGATTGGATTGACAAACGACGCGTCGCGATAAAAGGAAATTTGAAGGGCTTCCCACGCAACTCTTCGACCTGCCAGCGATCAACGTTTACCAAGGCCCTAATGCCCTCTTCGAGGCTACCGGAAGGAGTAGTGATCATTGAGCAACTAGGTTCTTTCACGACACGAACGATCTTGCTACTATGACCCACATGAGGAATTAATGGTTAAAGAAAACCTTTTCTTAACATGGCAAATGCAAAGATCAATCATCATCAAATTTAATGATGAAAAATGGCAACTGCGAAATGTAACAATAGAAACGACCTAACTTAGGGGACGAACCTCTGACCGCCTCACTAGGGGCCTTAGATCCTCACTCGAGGGCATACCGGAGCGCAGCGCCATAGACGTGTGTCATGCAGGGCTGTCCGACTCGGCAGCGGGCCCAAGAGTTGCCCCCATCCGCGTTGATCCGACGGCCTGCAATCGTCTTCAAGTAGGCAGGCAGCGACGCAGTACAGGATGAGAAAGACGTGGGGAGAGCGAAAAGGACCGCTCAGGCGGGAGACATGTTGACGAGACTGGCGATCCATTTTTTAGGCCGCTGGTACTGATGATCTCTTTGCATGTTACGGTATCAGCTCGCGATGGGACCCCAGGTGCGGTGGACCTGACGTTGCGCTCCTTAAATTGACTGGACAGCATTGATTGAATGAGTCGTACGAAGTCACGACACCGATGTTGACTGTAAGATGTCTTAGGCTGCTTTCATAGTTCGCATCGGTGCGGTCGGTGCCGACGGCGGCGTCGGCCGCCGACCGCACCGACAGTGTGAAGAGCGTCAATACGCGCTCTGGCGCATGACGCGTACGTTGGGCGCAGATCGCGTGCTCCGATCGATAATCCTGGTTTTGGTGTATTTCTTGTCTTTTTCGATGTTTTTTTTTGCGCCGTGTTGCTTTTATTCGTGTGTTTTTCTGTTCATACTTATTCTTTTATGTGTTGATTATACTTTTCAGTTGCCGCGGACGAGCGACTTCGTAGAACCCCGTCGTACAACCCCAGGTGAAGGTGGCTATACCGGGTGAGTTCATCATAAGCAATGTTGTTTATTCGAGTGAAATCTATGTCATTAGAAGTTGCTTTTTCTTCGGTACGATTTCCTGCTGGTGTGCGAAAGGCCGCCGGATCTTGGTAACTTAATTATTCGCACACCAGCAGGAAATCGTATCGAAGAAAAAGCGGCTACTGAAAATATACACTTCACTCGAATAAACAAAACTGTACGTGATGACTGACTGACCGGGTTTTGAAGCCACGTTCACACGGGGTTGCAGGACATCATTCGTCTGCGGAACAACTGAAAAGTACTAATCAAGAGCAGAAAACACACGAATAGAAGGGAAGTCTGCCCAAAAAAAAAACACGAAAAAGACAAGAAATTCACCAAAACCAAGATTATCGATTGATAGGATTGAGCGTTTCACGCACGGTGCTGTCGTGTCAAATAACCAGACGTAGCGCTGCCAAATGCGCCAGACGAGTATTGCACGCTCGTAGGCACTGTCGGTGCGCTGCTGTCGGTTCGCGGTACGTGCTCGACCGCCTCGTTCTTGCGTTTTGACGCGTCAGGGGCTACCGTAAACTCGCTCATTTCGGCGTATGCACTATGAAAGCAGTGTCTTCTACATTCATGCTGTCGATGTCGTTTAAAGTTATTCGAATACCTTATAATGCAACGTCGGTTGCTCTCGTCATCTCGACCTCTCGGAGGTTCTCAATAACCAGGTAAACAGTACTTATCAATGCGATACTATCGACACAATGGTGTGTAATCTCGTAGATAAGGTGATGCAGGTGTTGCAGCAAACTTCTCCCCGGAAGAATTCCGGAAGCGGTACTGGTCAATCCCAATTTGAAAAGTTTTCCAGTTAATATTTTTGTTTTTTCCTGCACTGTCAAGTCAGCGTGTCATCAAGTCACTATAGTATAATGAATGTTCGTATGAACTGTAAAGCAGGGTGAAAATCGTGTCGAGTACGTGGTCGCAGAGGTACGACCCCCCCCCCGAAATCGAGATCCTGGCACGACCCCCCCCTAACAGAGCAAATTAATTCAATTAATTAATAAAATAAATCCTGCAAAACAAATCAAAAAAAATTCTGCAAAATAATGTTATGGACGCCTCATCTTGTCATCTATGCACTGTCTTTCATCGCTGCACACTTTTGTGTATTTACTGAAATATCGACTCGAGGAAAGAGGCATTAACTTTGTGTGACCTCAAAGTCAGGTTCGTTCAGAAATGCACAGAAATCCTGAAGGCACGGGGTTGCGATTCAATCTTGATTCCTGCTTGAGTATATCAAAACAGCCGAGTGTATCAAAGGCCGATTCAACGGCAGCTGCGGCGCGATTGTCACTGGGTCAGATTTGCTGAAATCCCGAAAAAAAACCGTCGAAATCTACACCCTCGATGAAAAGGTTGCATTCCTCCATTTCATAACCTTTGAAGCAGTTTGAGGTAGGGTTAGATAGAGCTGGATTTCGCGTTTCCAAGAAGTATTGAAATTGCTCTGAAAGCCTTCCATGCAGAAAGATAGGGTCTCTCAAATTTCGTCGAGTAAACGTCGAGGACGCTGAAATTTTCATGCGAGTTTTTGCCACTTCAAGAGCAATCTCTCTAATCGTAAGATCCTGAAAAAGGGAAGATAGTTTTGGAAAGCGGAAGGTTTGCGCTTTCTGATGGTCTTCTTAGCTTTCTTCTACATTTCCTAGTTGAGAAGATATCTGCGTCGAGTATGTATCGAGGACGGATCCGGCCACCTGAAAATCCGCTCCCTCCTTCACCATTGCAAGTGTAATTGTTGGCAACGCTTGAAATGGGTCTAGAAAACATCTTCCCAACATAAGCAATAGGAAAAGGGGCAATGGTCAAGTAAAGGATTGGATGTCCTCTTAGCATCCTCCCCTCTTAATCAGCTATCAGGCCTCGGGCATGCCCAACCAAACCACACAAATTCCACAACATCATAGGATAATAAACTTCATGTAGAAGCATTACGACAAACAGACATAAGGCATGAGATATCATGAGCAGAACAACAATACGTAGATCATAGAAGAGGCGGACAAATGGCAGAGTTGACGACCCGGTCATCCGACCGGTTGCAGAACGGTCTCGACGGCAGAATCCTCGTTGTTTTCCTTGTCCTCGCTCCGCCCCTCGATCGTCTTCGAATCGTCCGTCATCTGGAAACATAATGCTAAGCGATCAAAAATAAACATATGACATCCATAGGTCTAGAATAAGCTGATGACCTAGGTAGATAGCACAAAAGAGAATGAATGTAAACAGACCATCATTTGAATACCCTAACCGTTACATCTCCCCCCTTCAGCGAAGTCCGTCCTCGGACTTAGAATGAATAGGAGGTCGAAGAGAGTTATCGAAGAAATGAAGGTCGGTTATTAAATGTCTGTCCCGACACCATCGAGCCACTCTATTCCATACGGCTGCCCTCTGTAGGCAAGGTAGAAAGCCTAAAATAAACATACCGTCTTTAGCGCGGGAGAGCGCCACGTTCAGGCGTCTCGCGTCAGAAGAAGAAAGA